TTCTCTTTTCTTTATTAAATTAGTATAAGGTTAAATTAAGTTAGTAGATTAGTTAGTTCTAAGTTTTAGTTAAAAAATAATTCAAATAAGGGTTTTTTTTTTGTCCTTTTCCCTTAAAATTTATTATATTTACAAATTTCAATTAAATTTTTTAAATTCCCATTTAGCAGTTGTAAAGATAAAATCAAAATCTATATCTCTGTAAATATTTAAATTCAAATGTATATGTATATGCAAAATTATTATTATTGACAATAAAGACAAGACAATAAAATAAAGTACATATATGAAATATATAACATAATTTTTTAGACAATATTAAAAAGCATTAAATTTTTAAACAGAAAAAAAAAATTTAAAATATTAGGACAAAGAAGAATATCTTGAAAAATAGTTTTGATTTGATTATTAGTTTAAATTTATAAAAAAGTAATTAAGACAAAGAAGAATGTTTTTGTCTGATAATTAGTTTTTGTTAAACAAAATTCTGATGAAATATCTGTTTGAGATGTTCAAAGAAAATATTATCTGAAAAACAGATTTAAGTAACAAAGATTCAATAGTATAAATAGAGAGGAAAAATAGTTTTAAGTTCAGTTCATATTTGATAGTCGGTACGACAAGTTTCAAATTGTTAATCTTTAATTGTAATTTCCGTTATTAAATAAATAAATAAAAAATAAAAAAACAAATTTAATTGTTTTTTTTTTTTTTAAATTAAGCCCGAGCTTAATTATTTTATTCGCACGTATATGTAATAAAAGTGGTAAAATCAACATTACCATATTTGGTTTACATATGATGGTAAAAATTATTATAAAATGATTAGACAAGGAAATTTTTTTTCAAATTTCCAAGCAAGTGGTAAGGCTTATCTTCATTGAAGTTATTCCAACAAAGCAAAGAAAACAGTCAGAGTAAATTATTATAGAAGTTAATAATAGTCTATATTTGCATATAAATAATAATATATTTATTTTATATGTACACATATATACATATTCATTTATAAAAATATGTATTTGTATGTATAAATACCTAAATATTTATTTTATTTTTGTAATTTGATGGTTTCCACAAGACATTCAAATGACATCTCAATGTTATTCTAAATATAAAAAAAATTTTTTTTAATTTTCTTATTTAGATATTTTATAAAAATTTTCTCTTCCTTTTTATTTTTTCTTGTTTCGTTTTCAACCCGCTCAAATATACATAGTAAATAGAGTATACATAATATATACAGAAATATGTGTATTTATTATATACTCATAGTCATAACATAATAAAGTTGGCAATAACAAATTAATCAGCTATAAAAATTTTGAGGTTATTTGCCAATTTTCGGCTTAAACTTTTTATTTATAAGAAAATTTTTATTTTCTTATTAATGTTTTGTTTTTCTTTTTTTTTGTTTTTTTTTTTTTCAAATGAAATCATTACTTTATAATTATTATTATTATTATTATTATTATATTATTATTATAATATATGAATGTAGTTTAAAAATAAAAATCATATAAAAAAACTTAAAATTTTCAATTGAACAAAAAACAACAATTTCTTTAAAATATACATATATAATACGTTCTGTATATACGTAGTTAAGAACTATAAAAATAATTTTTTGATTTGTTTGCGCACCCAACAAATGTTTACAAAATATGAGATGAATAAAAACAAATTTTTAATTAAAATTGACATTTTTAAGGGCAATTTCTATATATAATATATGTATATATGTATATGTACATATAATATATGACACAGTAAGTGTTCTTATTTCACACTCTCAGAACATTGGGAAGTCTATAGTGTTAATCCATTAAAATATTGTTTATTAATTTATTATTAACCGTATTTCTTACTCAGAGAATTCTATAATTCAAACGGGACTACAATAATAATTTTATGCTAAAGGCAAAAAAGCACGGCTGGAGTACATATTTGTATTAAAATGAAGTGTGCCGGGATGGTTTTGACCACTTTGCTGGCAACTTAAAAAAGACTTTTTATCCTTAAGCATAAAAATTTTAAAAAGTTGGCAAAGCAATTAAAAACTCTATATAAATATATGTATGTGATTTAGTGAGAAATCACTATATTAGTGTGTTTTTAACATAAAAAAATTCATTTAGCCATGTGAAAAGAAAAAAAAAAACATTTATTTTTTAAGATACGCTCAATGCGCACTTTTTTATAAACAATGTAAAAAATTTTAAAACCAAAATTTTTTCACAACGTCAAAATTTCAAAAATAAAATTAAATTAAAAAGAACCTTTATAACTTTAAAAAAAAAAAATTTAACAAAATAAATAAACATTAAGTAAAATTTCACTTTATTTATTTTGCAGTTTAATAATGGTGTTATAAACTTTATGAAAACCACATCTTAATACATAAAGTGGATAGATTAGTAGGCGGAGTGGTGTACCTCATGGGTACATAGAGTAGGTATGGATCCCTAAGTTCACTTAAAGGTGATGAAGCGGGTATCATTAGGAAAAAAAGGAAATGCAGACAAGAAATCGTGAGCGACTTTGCAAATTTCTCCGCTCTGGGCACGAACGCGATTTATAAAAGCAGTGGGGTGGGTTTTCTTATAGTGGCTGTAAGAAAATACTATATGGCACCTATAAGATACAGCATGTGTCAAAAACTTGGCAACAAATTCAAACACTGTAAGGCTACCACCCCAATTTGCGGACAACATAATAAAGAAAAAACGGGGACACCCGAAGAACACTTACCGACTTGCGACCCGATAAAATGTGCCTACTGTGTAAACTCCCCTTACGATAGCAATCACTTAGCCAGCGCTAGGGACTGCCCTTACTGAATACGCGAAAAAAGAAGCAATCAAAATAGCTACAGACTACAGAATCCTTAAACGAGAGGCATACAAAAGAATCCCTAAATATATGCCAACGAGTATAAACCCCAACGTCACCTATGCACAGACGTCAACACAAGAAACAATCAAACCTATTACCGACACCAAACAGACTACACACACGGATCCTCAAAATCAACACTACTATAGAAAATATGGCTGCCACAAAGAGTGCTTGTAACTGACCTCTGAATCTCCCAAGACGAAGGGCTTTATGTATTTGACTGATTTGGATCAGCGTAAATAAAAATAAATAAAATAAAAAAAAATCGCAGAATATTTAAAATAATGAAATTTGAAATAAATAGAACGAATTATCTTAACTTATTCACACCAATTCAAATATACATTATAAAAATAAACGATTGTAACACGTTCACACTTATTATTCCTTGCACTACATGCCCAACCATTTCTTTCTAATTTTTTTTTTCAATATTCAAAAATATTTAAATTTTATCGTTTATGTAAATTATTATTAATTTACTAATATTTGCTTAAATTTAACAATAATGTAGTAGACATCAAAATTAAATATATCAAAATTTTTTATATAACATAGACATAATTAAAAAACCATACAAAAGTCAGCTGTCAAATTTACAAATCAAAATGTCATATCGTATTACTGGCACGTTTCAGATGTGATGAATTTTCCCTTTTGAAACTGCAACTATTACTTACTTGATATATATACATATATTTGACAAACGTATAAGTAACATTTGCATTCGTTATTATTTTAGTTTAGTTAAATAAAAGATAAATAAATGAAAATTTATCTAACAATAGAAGCAATGGAAATAAACAAGTATAATTAACTAAACTTTTTGCAAAATAATTGTGTACATAATATACATACAAACATATATGGTATTATATATCATGACCTTGAACCTTGAAACACCTCCGTTATAAGTACTAATCTTTATTATTTTTAAACAATCTCGTTTATATATATATATAAGTATGTTGTATGTAAGTGCTTTAGAAGTAACCAAAAAAAAATTTTTTTCACTAAAAAAATTACTTCAAAAATGTTTTTATTTAATAGTATATTTTTTTTCCAGATCGACATCTTGTAAATAGAATTTTACATTTGTGGTAATATGTCGATCTAGAAAAAAAATTTTACTAAAATTTTATGTTTCTTTTACTCATATTGTTTAGAAAAGCAAAGAAAAAGAAAGATACTTATTTAAAGCGACATATGTCCGATGGAACAAATTTCTATTTCATTTGAAAAGCAAAATCAAAATTTAGAATATCATTTACTTTTGTTAATTTCTGTATTACATTAAATTTTAAGAAATAGAAAGATTAAATTAACCTTTATCAGAATAGAAACTAATTTTCACCAAAAGACGAAGTATTAATTATTTTGCAAATGCTTACTTTTCTTCTTTCGTGTAATTAAATTGGCGAATTATTACCTAAAGCGATTACTCACATAAGAAGTTACTTGCTCTTATTACTGAAGTGAAGAAAGAAACTTCACAATAATTAATTATTTTTATATACTTCTTTGTAACAAGACAAGTGTAATAGATTACCTGTACTTATTACTTTTCTACTTCATTGTAACTATGTACTTTGCTATTTCTTTATAATAAGATGGGTAATGTTCGGCCCAAAAAAAAAAAAAAAAATTATATTTTAATATTAAGTACATTGAAAAATTTGTAAAATTATAAAATTTAAGATTGTATAATGAAAAAATGATTTTTTAATTATAAAATTAAACATTCATATTAAAAACTCGTCATTGTATTTAACCTATAAACTCACTTATTTACCAAGAATTCTGTTACGTATAATTGCGCCAAAATAACTGTACAAAATCTGCACATTAGTGATGTACAGTTTATGTTGGTGATTCTTTTTTATTGTCTGTCTTTGTCTGCTTAAAACGATGAGTTTTACTTTTTCAATTTTTATAATAACCGAAAAGCAATTTCGTTAAAAAAAATTGTTACATTTCTGATTATGGGATAATGTGTAGCCAATTTATTGATAAATTTAAAATTTTTAAAATCTATTTTGAAGAGAAGAGAAAAAGAGAAAACTAAAAGCTACTGTAATGATAACAAAATAATTTTTTTTTACCTCAAAATGTCTTTAATAAATAATTTTCACTCCATTTATGGTATACTTTTACCCCCCTGTTTTAATTTATAATTTAATTTTTGAAAATAACATAAAATTAAAATCAAAAAATTAATATTGTGTGCAAAATAAATTTTAATAAATATTTTAAACCAAAACAAAAACTTATACTTTTCTTATCTCTTCATCACAATTCACTTAAAATTAAGAAAATTTATTTTTATTTTTGTGCTAATTCTGGAATTTTTCCACTTTACAAATGAACTATTATTTATCACCTTTTTATTATTTATTTTTTTTTTTTTTTCTTTTTTTGATTCCTTATAACACAATCTTGTGCTTTTTTTTTTTTTATAAAAATATATAAAAGATATTTTTTTTATTTAATTTTAACAATTTTATAGAAAAAAAATATATACACACAATTTTATTACTTTGATTTATACAAAATACAAAAAGTTAAATCGCAAAATTTTTTCACGCAAAAATAATAAAAACACGAAAAAAATGTGAAAAAATCACAGATTTTAAATATATAAAAAAATTTTTCTTTTTGTTTTTTAATTTTTAAATTTATAATCTTTCACAAAAATATATTTGATTACGTATATAAAAATCTTAATTAGAACAAAATTTTTGCTTATTTAATAAAAATTTTATAAAAAAAAAAATTGTTTTTTTTTTTTTTATTTAAAATTCACCAGCTAATCGCCGCGATAAAATTTCTATTAGATATCGACGAGTATCAATTCGTAAACGTTGATCGGTTACAATATGAATATTGGTAGAAAATTTTTGATAAAAATTATCTAAATATCGACAACCTAGTCTCATTATTTGAAATAAACTGAACCGATTTGAACTGAATATAAAAAGAATTTTTATATATATATAAAAAAAAAATATTTAATTCGAAAACAAAAAAAATAAACATACAAATAAAAACAGCAGATTTTATCAAAGTCCATTTTTTTCCCCTATTTTTTCTCTCTCTCTCTTTCTTTCTCTTTGAATGACGCTTTTTAAAATTTTTGAAAATTTTCGAAAGCGTCAATCTTCGATAAAATCAAGAGAGAAAAAAATATCAAATATGTATTGTAGTCGTAGAGCAAAGCTTTAAATTTTAAAGTATACATACAGGTGTTCCTCGATTAAAATACCCTTGTGTGGTACACGTAATTTCAGTTTAACATATGTAGAAAAAATTTTTATCTCTACTTTTCGATAAACGTAATTTTTTCTCTAGCTTAAGGCATTTATTTTCTAACCAAAATAAAAATATAGTAAATTAACAACATATTCGTTTACCTAAAAAAAAAAAAAAAAAAACAGTTTTTGATGTCTAATTTTTAAATTAATATCTAATATAGGCAATGATTTCGTCTTACAATTCTGAGTTTTCGGACGAATTATGCGACATAGAGAAGAATGTTTTAGCATCATCAGATTTTATTGCCAAAAAACAAATTACGATAAGTCATTTGCTAATATTAATTTTATTTAATATATTATACACGCTTTAGTAATATAACACAATAAAATATTTCTCATTTAGTTTTAAGAATGCTCTTGACATATTTTATTGCTGAATTACAAGTAAAAATAAGGCGTTTAACAGTCAATCAATCTTGTTAAATATGCGTAACACGATGGATGCTTTTGCAGTTTACAAAAAAAAAGTGTATAAAAAATAAAATATGTCAAAAATCCTTGAAATGTTTATAAAAATAACTGTGGTAGGTAATAACTTTACTTCATATAAAAATTAAAAATTATATTTAATAAAAATATTATTTTCATGGTTTGTATGTAACTTGTATGTATTCATATAGTTCATATTTATACATTCTTTCGATACAGAAATTGAGAGCTTTTGCCATTCCTGTTTTTTTTATTGTTTAAATATTCTTAGTTAATTATAAATTCATCATATATACAGTCGGTCAAAAAAGTTTTCATACACCCTGAATATTTCACTTTAAAGCTTCCAAAGATGCACTTTTTTTAATAAGTTCTTAGAAATAAATCGAAGTAAACGTTTGTTTTGGATGTGCAGAAAAATTTTTTTTTGATTTGAAAAAAATCTTTGTACGAAATAGGGAATTCTCCGCTTTAAACTAAATTAATTACGTTATTTCTGATCAAAAAAGTTTTCATACAGTCATTATATGTCAGTAATTCCAATGATTAGGAGCTGTCTCAGATTTTTTTTTCCGATAAATATTTATAAACTGAACATTTTACTGTAATACTAGTGTAATTAGAAGAAGATTAGAATTAGAAGAAAATTACATTGTTAGAGTAATATGGGCAGAGGTAAAGAAATTACGTTAGACATGCGTAACTTAATGGTAAAGTTACATTTGGAGAAAAAACTCTGCGGGAAATCGGAGCTAGTGTAGGGATGAGTCACGCCACGGTACAATATGTAATAAAAAAATATAAGGAGAGTGGAACTATAGCAATTAAACCACGAAGTGGGCGGCCAGAAATATTTAGTGCGAAGGAACAACGAGCTATTGTCAATATAGTGAAGAAAAAACCAAAAGTTTCGGCACTTTCCATAAAGCAACAAATGGAGGACTCAACCGGAAAAAAGTGCGATCCTCAAACGGTTCGCAATATTTTGCACAAAGCTGGTTTCAATGGCCGTTCACCTAGACAAAAACCTTTTATTTCAAGTACTAATAAAATTAAACGTTTAAAGTTCGCTAAAGAGCATTTAAATAAACCACATGAGTTTTGGAACAACGTTATTTTTAGTGATGAAAGTAAATTCAACATTTTTGGTAGTGATGGCCATTCAAAAGTGTGGAGAAAACCAAATACTGCCTTCAACAAGGAAAATATTTTGCCAACAGTAAAACACGGGGGCTGTATGAGTGCTTCTGGAGTGTGCAATGTAGTTTTTATTGACCACGTTATGGACAAAAATGGGTATTTGGATATTTTAAAAAATAATTTGAAGCCGAGTGCCGAAAAATTGGGCCTTAATGCGCGGTCATTTATCTTCCAGCAAGATAATGACCCGAAACACTGTGCAAAAATAGTTAAAGAATGGCTGATTTTCAATGTGCCCAGGCAATTAAACTCACCTCCACAATCACCAGACTTAAATCCCATTGAGCATTTGTGGGATTTATTGGAACGCCGCATTAGGAAGCCCTTTTAAAAGAATGGGTAAATATTACTGCACAACAAACTTCAAAATTGGTTGGCAGCATGACTAATCGTTTGAATGCTGTAATAGCTTCAAATGGAAACCCAACAAAATATTAATAAAAATTTTTTACCAACTTTTTACTGTAATTTGACTACCTGTATGAATACTTTTTTGATGTTATTTTTTGTTATTTTTTTGTTTTTCTTAAATTTGTTATGTTTGACATTGAAATATTTGTTGTTATTACAAAATTTAAATAGTAGTTAAGTATAATAAACTAAGTACAAAATTCTAAATGGATATCTTTAATAGTTTAAGATTGGGAGCTAAAACTATACACAAATATTTAGTGTATGAAAACTTTTTTGACTGACTGTATGAGACAGTCCAGTGTTAATTCAAACGACCCAATCAGAGAAGCAAATAACATAAATCAGGTAATTAACAGTTGGTAATATTCTTCTGTACTATAATTTATTATGCTCTTACGCTTTTGCAAATTGAATTTAACAATTTTTCGGCAAAATATTCACATACATACTAATAATAATTAGATTAGAATGATATGAGTAAGAACAATTTAAAAATTTCTGTCAAAATAAATTTAGTTTCAGAAATACGAATATATTAAGCAGTTAAAATTTTAATTAGCAATATACTTTTCTTTTGGGATTCTTTGGAAGTTTAAATTTTGTCTTGAAAGATTTAAATATATTAGAAAATTATCTGTATTGCCCAAAAAGTTGTGTTTTTAAAAAGCAATTTTTTCAACAAACATAAAAGCCTAAGCGGGTTTCTATCAGTTTTAGCAAATCAAGTAATAGAGAATAACTGCAGACGGTAGTCCTTCTTTACATAATATCCCATGTAGTCGCATAATTTATAAAGTTTTTAAATAAAATGGAGAATAAAAATATGAAGAAGAATATGAGGGAAGAAAAAGGAGATGATGCTAAAAAATACAATTGGTTCAGAAGAACTTCAATTTACATTGTAAATTTTGTAAATTTTACAAGTTTAAACATTTAAATTTAATCTACGTATTTTATACGTATACTTATGATGACATGGAACATATATTAAGGTACGAACCTATATCTGTAGCTGAAGTCAATGAACTTACTGTAGATAAATTTGTGATAGTAGAGGGAAATGGTAGTTGGTTTAGTCCTGTTCATTCGCCAATTGAAATGAAAATCACTTCAGATGGAATAGTTGATCATAATTTAATACGAAAACCCAAGCAAGCGAATATTGGAGGAAAATTTATGATAGGAAAAGAAGATAAGGAGAAGAAGAGGAATATTTTTAAGATACAATCGTATAATAATAAAAGTGAGTTTTTAGCTATGAAAGAAATAGACGAAGATCTGAAAGAATTCGGACTCAACATTTTCTCTGGTAGAGGAAAAGAAACAAATAATGATGATAAAGGAGCTACATTAGATACGGAATGTACTAAAACTACAGCAATTGATACAATCGATAGAGTAGAACGTAGTCAACTTGTTAATAAGAATTATTTTGATAAAATGCATAAAAAACCGCATAGGTATAATATAGGAGACTATGTTCTCATAAAAAATGTTATAACAACAGCAGGAGTAAATAAAAAATTATTGCCAAAATACAAAGGGTCATACGAAGTAGTGAAAATTTTGCCTAATGATAGGTATCTAATAAAAGACATTGAAAATTTGCAGATCTCCCGTGTTGCATACGAAGGAATTTCAAGTCCTGAAAATATGAGACCCTATAAAAAATTTTAATGAAAAAGAAAACTTCGTTTTTGTAGTTTGTTTGTTTTAATTATTCTTACTAATGGTAAGGTCAGAAATTCGGTAAATCTAAGTTTTGTTCGTAAAAATTCTTAATTAAGGTAAATTTTATGTGAATACGATAAACTTATCATCATATATAAAATGAAAAATGTGAAAAAGTACAAGAAAAAAATTAAAATTTATTTTTATTTGTAATTAAAATGTAAAAAAGAAAAATTTATTTTATAATACAAAAAAAAATAAAAAAAAGTTTATTTCAGGATCAGAATAACAATTTGAATGCGTAAATCGGGGTCGATTTTAAAGTCAGGTTAGGCCGAGTTGTAGTCGCATAATTTAAATGGTGTGCAAGTTATATATTCGCTTACGCCCGGAACACCAAAAAATAAAATTTAACTATAACTAAAATTAAATCGAACGTTGCGATCAAATTTCCATACTTTATTACTTAAACCTATTCTAAATCATTTAATCGCAACGTGATTTGACAAAAACAAAATATTTATTTTAAATTAAAATTAAAATTCAACGTTGCAATTAAACTCCTATATGAAATCATTTAATTGCAACGTGATTGAACTTTTACAGACAAAACTAAAGCAAAGTTCCAAATATTCAAATTACAATATTAAAACTTTCCCATGAGAATTATTCTAAACAATTTTTTGCTTACTAAACAGTTATTTCTTATAAATAGAGTAAATTCAATAGCAACTTGGCTTGGTTGGTAATTCAGTAGCTCGTTAGTTATTAAATCGTTTTGCCGTTTAGAAAATAAAGATTTAAAAATAAAGTTAATAAGTTTGGAATTAGAAATTAAAGTGTAATTAATTAATAAATGAAATAAAAAGAACTTTTATAAATCTTAAAATATTTTTTGTGTAAAGTAAAAACTTATAGTTTAATTTAATAAGTTTGGAATTGGAAATTAAAGTGTAATTAATTAATAAATGAAATAAAAAGAACTTTTATAAATCTTAAAATATTTTTTTTTGTGTAAAGTAAAAACTTATAATTTAATTGGCGCAGTCGGTAGGATACCGACTCCGTCTATAAAAACAAAAAAAAAAAAAATCTAAACAAAAAAAAAAGAAAACACTAATATTTTTCTTAAGTCAATTTAAATGAACAAAAAACTAGAAAATAAAATAGTGTAATGCTCAAACCATTAAGCAAAATTAAATAATAATAATAAAAAAAAAAAAAAAAATTTTGTGGTGAACTGAGTGATAAAAGTTTAGTTGCGTAAAGGCGGAGAACTTTTTTCAAAAAGTTAATTCGGTAAATAAACGAACAAAAATTATAAGTAAAACACAAATAAAATATCTATTAAAAGATCTTTAATCAAATCAAATTTTACAACTAATTAAATTGATAAAACAAAAATTATAAAAAGAGAAAAAAAAAAAAAAAAAAAAAAAAACCAAAATATTTTTTTTTAACATTTATGAAGAAAAGTGAAAAAGAAAAATACTTTGATAATCTAAAAAATATACAAAAAAATTTTAACATGTCACTTGCTGCAATTACATTAAAAGACTTGATAGGCGAAGCTCGTTCAGTACCAATTTTTACTGGACAAGACGCCTACAGTCTAAAATCCTTCATCGAAGAAGTCGAAAGTTTAATTGCCTTAGCAGCGGATGCCGATGCAAAAAACTATCTATACAGAATTTTGTACAGCAAGATCCAGGGTCCTGCAGCGGCAGCAATCCGGAGAATTCAGGAAAAAACTTGGGACGAAGTAAAACAACAACTGAAAGCTACCTTCGGAGTACAGAAATCTTATTTGAAATTAAAAGAAGAAGCAGACTGTATAATTTTTAGAAATGTAAGTGATCTTTATGTTAAATTAAATTCCATATTAAATTTGTTAAATTTAAAATATGATTTGGATGACAATAAATCTTCAGAATTTAATCCAATTAATAATGAAAATTCAATATTAGAAAAATTTTTGAATAAATTAAATAGAGTAGACTCAATGTACCTTAGAACTAAAAATGTAACAACATTAGAAGACGCTTATAGAAGCTTATTAGAAACCAATATATCCGACAGCAAGGTTCCAAACACCAACTCTCAGTATAGGAACAATAATCATACAAATTACAGAAATAACCATAACATAAATTCTAGACATAGTAGTAATAATACAAATTCCAGAAATAACTATAGAAACGCAAATAGAACTTTCAACAATAACAATTACAATAACAACATAAGAAACACTTACACAAATAGACCAATGGACAGAAACTACACTACTAACGAAAAGTTTAGGAATTTTAGGCCCAACCAACAATTTGGTGGTACAGGTAATAATCTACCAGGACCATCTTATAACGAAAATCGGTCAAGTCCAGTTCCAATGGATGTGGATTCGGGTTCCACAGAAAATTTTCACTGTGGTCCCCCTATCCGACATTACCCTTAGTAGACTTAACAATAGAAGGCAAAAGGCTGACCTGTCTGATCGACACAGGATCAGTTACTTCAATTATAAACGGCAATATTTTTGATCGATCTGAACAAAACAAATTAGAAAATCCAATTCAATTAAAAACACTCGCAGGAAACCAAGCCATTAAATACGAAATAACTACAAAAGTACCTGACGAGTTCAATGAAAATTCAACTATGTCCTGGAAAGTAATGGATCTTAGCAATAAAAACTTTGACGCTCTCTTAGGCCAAAATATTTTAAAACCAATAGGAGCAAATATTAATCTTTCAAAGGGGCGGTTAGAAATTAACAACCGTAATATTAAATTTAATTCAGCTTGTCCTTTTGAAAACACTTGTCAAATAGAACCTTTACAAATCAACCATAATGAATTATTTGAAAAATTATTAAATAAAAATATGAATAGAGAAGAAACTAAATCATTAAAATATATTTTAAACTCTAATAGGGATCTTTTCTATAAAGAAGGAGATCGATTAACATGTGTCAAAAGTGTAAAACATCAAATAATTACAACTACTTCCCAACCGATTTATAGTAAAATATATCGGTTTCCAAAAATACATGAAGGGGAAGTAAATAAGCAAGTTCAGGAAATGTTAGAGCAAAATATTATTCAACCATCCAGTAGCCCTTATAATAGCCCTATATGGGTAGTACCCAAAAAATTGGACTACTCAGGGAAACAAAAATGGCGCATTGTCATCGACTACCGTAAATTAAATGAAATTACGGTTGATGACAAATTCCCGATACCGAATATAGATTCTATATTTGATAAATTGGGTCGCGCTCAATATTTCACCACTCTGGACCTCGCAAAGGGGTTTCACCAGATATTAGTGGATGAAAAAGATCGTCTAAAGACCGCGTTTTCTACACCGCAAGGTCACTTTGAGTTTGTACGGATGCCATTCGGACTAAAGAATGCTCCGGCAACTTTTCAAAGGATGATCAATTACGTTTTAAAGGACTTTATCGGGCGAATTTGCGTTGTCTATCTAGATGACATCCTTATTTTCTCTACATCACTACAAGAACACCTCTCAGCTATTAATAAAATATTTTCAAAATTAAGAGAGTTCAATCTAAAAATCCAAGTGGATAAGTGCAAATTTTTCTCTAAAGAGACAGAGTATTTAGGACACATATTAACACCAGAGGGAATAAAGCCAAACGAAGATAAAATTAATGTAATTAAACAAATCAAACTGCCTAAGACTCCCAAGCAGATAAAAAGTTTCCTAGGCATTACGGGGTACTATCGCAAGTTCATCAAGGACTATGCGAAAGTAGCTCAGCCTATGACTAAATATTTGAAAAAGGGAAATAAAATCAATGAAAATGATATACAATATAAAGACTCCTTTCAAAAATTAAAAGAATTGATTACAACTTATCCTATACTTCGTTACCCTGATTTTAAAAAGAAATTTGTATTAACGACGGACGCGTCCAACTTTGCAGTTGGAGCAGTCCTATCACAAGAAAACCACCCAGTCTGCTTCGCTGGCAGAACCCTTAATAATCGTGAATGCAATTACTCTACTATAGAGAAGGAACTTCTTGCCATAGTATGGGCCACTAAATATTTTCGGCCATACTTATATGGTACAAAATTTTTAATAAGAACAGACCACCAACCCTTAAAATGGTTGCATTCACTAAAAGAACCAGGCGCCAAACTACAAAGATGGCGAATCAGATTAAACGAATACGACTTCGAAATAGACTATGTAAAAGGAAAAGAAAATCGTGTTGCTGACTTTTTAAGTAGAATGGATTCTACAAATAATGAAATTAATCATATAGATGACCCTAACGAAACACCTTCTAATAATTCAGTTATAACAACAAACCATAGTCGCCATGAAAATCAATTCCCAACATCCGATATAATAATTAATAAATATTTGACGCAGCTTTATTTGACAAAAGAAAAAGAAAGGGAAATAATTATAAAATATAAAAAATTTAGACAAATCTTTATTAGTGAAAATGAAATCAATAATAGCCATTATTTAAATGACATACTTAGACGATTCATTAGAAATGGAATAACTGCTATCTATTCCGAATTAAATGATGAAAAATTTGATATAGTAAAACAGAAACTCACGGAACTCTTTTCTAATAATAATAAAATGAAATTCATAAAATGTACTAAAAAAGCAATAGACATAGAAAATGAAGAAGAGGCCTTAAAATTAATAGAAAAAATTCATAAAGAATCAAACCATCGAGGTATCGTTGAAAATTATACAGAAGTGAAAGATGAGTTTTTCTTCCCTAAACTTAAGGAACTATTTCATAAGTATATAAACAATTGCGACATATGTAATCAATCAAAATATGATCGCAAACCAAATAAATATAGATTCGAAATTTCCGAAACCCCGAGCTCTCCTAATAAAATAATACACGTCGATTTATTTTTCTGTTATAAGGAAATATTTCTTACAATAATTGACAAATTCTCAAAGCATTTAATGGTCCAACGTCTCAATGACCGAAATGCAACTACTATTATACAAGCACTTCGCAACAGGTTTGCACTATTCGGTAGGCCAGATAAAATCGTTGTCGACAATGAGTTCGATAGTCTTAATATCAAAAACTTCTTTAGAACAGAAAATATAAACGCTCACTTTACGTCACCCAGAAGCCATACCGGAAATTCTACAATCGAACGAGCTCACGGAACTTTAAGCGAACACCTTCGTATCTTAGATACACAAAAATCACATTTAACACCGTATGAAAAAATATTATTCGCAGTCGAAAAATATAATAATTCCATTCACTCTGTAACTAAAGTTAAGCCTATAAACTTTGTAAATAACGAAATAACCGATATTGAAAAAATTAGAAAATTAATTGATGAAAATAAACTTAAAACGATTGAAAAACTAAACAAAGATAGGATAGACCCTGACTATAAAGAAGGAGACAAAGTTCTTGTAAAAAATCCCGAAGCTCTAAGATATAAACATAAAAAGAAATATACGTATATTAAATCTAAATTAATTAACGGTAAATTAAAAGATAACCAGAATAGAAATATTCACCCAAGTAGATTAAAAAGAAATTTTAAATTTTCCTCAGGTAACCCAGAAACAAACTCCACTCAACCACTACCACAACAAACTTAAATTAGCACTGCTAATTTTACTCCTCACTTCAAATACTTGTTCTGCAAACATTGACGTTCGGGTATTGGAAAATCAAGGTGGATTCCAACTAATCAAGCGGGAAGAAATTCCTATAATTCAAAACTATTCTAAAATTCTTCACTTTATAAATATTAGCGAACTAGAAAATACTTTAGCACAAATTGAAAATAATATTTACAACACTTTTAACCAAGACAATACCACATTAAAACAATTACAAATTCAAATCGAAAAAACTCGACATAACATTAAAACATTACTACCACACAGACAAAAACGAGGACTCATTAATTTAGGTGGCAAAATCTTAAAATGGTTATTTGGAAACTTAGACGATGATGACAAAACTGAAATTGTAGAAAACATAAAACTTATTGAACAGGGAAATTACAACTCCATTCAGACCATAAATAAACAGATTAAAATAAACGACCAATTTCAGAAAAACCTAAATATTCTACAGAAACGAATTAACGAAAACCAAGAAATTTTAAATATTACACTGAGAGAACAAAACAACACCTTTAGCAAAAGCATAAAAAGTTTACAGTTTCTTTCTAGTTACACAAATATTAACTTACTAAATTCAGAAATAGACAAAGTCCAACAAAACATTCTTTTCGCTAAACATGGTATCATGACTCACTCCATTTTATCCAATGAAGAAATTGATGAATTTGAAATCGATGTTTTTAAATATAAAGAAATAGAAAGTTCACTTATTAGTCTAGATAATAATATTATTTTTGCCATTTTGATCCCTAACGTTGCAAAGGAACTTGCAGTTGGATATAAAATTATTCCAGTACCTAACAAAAATTTCGAGGAAATAAACATTGAATCTACTAATATATTGAAATTTAAAAATGAAATTTACTTTAATAATAAACAGAATTGTGAAAATAAACTAAAAGTAATAAATGGTTGTATAAAAAATTTAATGAATAATAATTTTAAGAATTGTACAAAAAGAAAAAATATTAATTTTGAGATTGTGGAAGTTTCATCTAATATTATCTTAGTAAAAAATGCAAATAATGTAATGTTAGAAAATACTTGTAATAACATACAATACAAACTAATTAAAACTAACTTAATTACATATTATAATTGCACTATAAAAATAGATGACGTAATATTCAAAAACATAGAGAGAAAAATTAACAACCACATAATAATACCAAACTATTTAGAACCTTATAATGTTAGTTATATACCAAATTTAGAAAATATTAATTTGAAGCAAATTGAAAATTACAATGAAATAGAATTTGTAAAATTTGAAATTAAAAACCATTATATTTTAATACTGTCAAATATCTCTATTATATTGCTTTTAATAATTTTTATTACAAAATACTATATGAAAAAATTTTATAAATGTAAAAAACGGCCAAACGATACAAATGAAAATAATAGTAAAGGAAATATAATCTCTGGAGCTCAGGAGAGCTTCCAGCTTAACGAGGGGGGAGTTATATATTCGCTTACGCCCGGAACACCAAAAAATAAAATTTAACTATAACTAAAATTAAATCGAACGTTGCGATCAAATTTCCATACTTTATTACTTAAACCTATTCTAAATCATTTAATCGCAACGTGATTTGACAAAAACAAAATATTTATTTTAAATTAAAATTAAAATTCAACGTTGCAATTAAACTCCTATATGAAATCATTTAATTGCAACGTGATTGAACTTTTACAGACAAAACTAAAGCAAAGTTCCAAATATTCAAATTACAATATTAAAACTTTCCCATGAGAATTATTCTAAACAATTTTTTGCTTACT